ATTAGGTTTTGTTATTGAAATTAATAGTTTATTTTAAAAAGACATTTATGGGTTAAGTTAAGTTATTAAGCATTAAATATATTTACTTTTATTTTTTCTAATATATATAACAATAGGTTATATCATCATTATATAATTATATAATAAATATATAAGGTAAGGTAAGTTACATTATATGGTCATAAACAAAATTATAATACATATTGTATTATATCATAATGTTATCATGTTTATAATATCTTTATCAATAAATTATCATATTTTATTTTATTTGAATAAATCTATTTTTAGCACGGTCATACATTTGATTATTAAATATTACGCATATATCAGCACTCWAATYGTCCTAATATTTATATTTTCATGCATTTTCATAATGTTATCATGTTATCAATAATCTTTTAACTAATCATTATTTTACTGTTTTAAGTTTTTAATTTTTAACTTCATTATAATATATGCTTAATAAGTAATTTACAAGATGGAAAATTTTCAATTTGACAATTACTGTCAGGTTATAAGTAAAACAGTTTCTGAAATATTTTTGAAAACCAAACTGGAGTACAGTCATGAATCTTAYAGTACTACATGTGATGAATGGATTCAGAAATATTCTCTAGAAACTAAAACGAATTGGATTGTTAAATCTACYTATCCAAAGAAACAAAGATATTTGTATCACAAAGACATGTAACAGTGGTTTTCAGAAAACGAGTACTTCAGAGGTTGATGAGACACTTGGGGTCATAATTGATTCAGAAATTCAACAATTTCAAGCTAATATGGACAATATTAAATGTTTGGTGGAAAAAAATAAAAATGATAAATTTGTCATAAAAAATTTTAAAAACATAAATAATTACTTGAGTCGCATTACTTCAGTTGAACAATTATCTGAATTTTCAAAACATTTAGTCCGTAAACGACATGGAAAAATTATTGGAACACAATCTACATCACGTTCTAGACGCAAATCTATTATTTCAAGAGGTGCTAAACGCATACAAGCTGGCCGACCATCAAAAACAGAAGCAAACTTTCAAGTTAAAAGGAAAAAGAAAAGATGCTTGGCAATAAATATTGATGAAAATACTCCAAACGCAAAAACTCATTAAATACATTTAATTTTTCAGTATTTTGTTTATGACTTATAAAAAATATAATAA